CCACTTTAAACACCACATCACACTGTGTGTGAGGCTTCAGTAGCTAGACACTTTAAGTCTCATGGACATGGACTTAATCAGCTGAGGTTTCAGGTAATTGAGTCCACCCTTTGCGGAGAAAGGGAGATAGACAAAACCTTTTACTCCAGAGAGAAACGAAAAGGTTTAGCATCTTGGAAATGCTATTGCCGATGGGCCTTAGTGAGGATTATGACCTCAAGCGTTTCCTATAACCTACCTTTATCTTATATAGACTGATTGATATCTCTTGTTTCATGGTGACGCATTTTAACGATTACTTACCTTATGCCTTCTACAGTTCCATATGCTGACCAACATTGGTACGAATCCCTTACGTGGTTTTTTTAATGACCAAACTTGATCCGCTACCTGGCTATCTCCAGGGTCCTTTACTGGGAGTTACAATGTACACTTCAGTGATTCATACCAACAGCAAGTTTTCACTTTTTCAACTTAATAGAGAAAAATATTGCTTTTCCACTTTTTGTTTCTCACTTTCTTTCCCTAAAAAAAGTGTTTCCTTCCTTTTTTGTCTCTACTCTGCGTCTATCTAAAAATTGTTTTAACCCTAAAGGGACACTATAGTCACCAGAACAACTACAGCTTAATGTTGTTGTTCTGGTGAGTATAATAGTTCCCTTCAGGCTTTTTTTTTTTTTTTTATTCTTTATTTTTGACAGTGCAGTAGTGTGTACATCATTTGGCATTGGTAGAAATATGCATAGTGATATCGATGGACAGTAGACATTGTTAGTTTGCAAGAAAAAAATTCAAAGCATACTACACTGTTATTTTTTGTTTAAGGTAGCGTAACAACATATATGAACAGAGTAATTATATATCTCAGCATGCATGTCCTAACTTCATATGGTACTGGCGTTTATGTCTTATGTCTGAGCAGAAATGGGGACCATGCGTATGTCTGAGGCGCTGGCTGGGCTTATGAGGCTGTTAGTGTTAGGCACATGTTTGGAGCACATACGCAGAAAGGAAAGCAAAAGAAATAAAAAGTCTGAAATATCTGTAAATAAACATGCTGGGCCGTGCTGTCTAACATGAGGGGCATACGGTATAGGCAGGTTAGGCTTAACATTGGTCAGACATTAGGTTCAGGGTCACTAGTGGCGTCCTGATTTCTGAGCTGGTATGCTATGACAAAAGCCCTGCACTTGCAGGAGTGATGGACTGCCTATTATATTTAGTTGACAGGTTGCTTAAATATATTTATAGTTGTCAAGCTTTAGTATCACTGGGTACAGGCGAAATGATTAATCATGCGAAGATATGCTTACATGGGGCTAAGGGTGCATCAGGCTGTGCAATAGAGGGGTGAGACAGTCAACTTTTAACCCCTGCATTCCTGTGTTAACCTGTCTGCATTACAGCTGGACATAGCTAGTGTGAGGCATTAGAAAAGCATAAAAACAAACTGAATACTACAGAAACATAACAGATAGGCATACTGAGCTTCTCCTGGTAATGCGCAGCATGTCTCCCATACAGTTCAAGGTGGGTGCCTCAGCCTATGCCCAGGGTTGGGAGGATCCGGCCACTGTAACTGTAAGCGTCTCTCTTGGTGTCCCTGGGTGTGGTGTATCCGTGGCTGGGGCGAGCTCCGGTAGTGCCCTGGGGTGAGTGCAGTCACACTGTCACTGATTTTGTAGCGTGAGCTGTGAGGATCTGGGTCCCGTTGTGTCGGGTGCTGAGAGACTGGTCCGGCGAGGTCCTGCCATATATATCGCTTGTGTGGCGCTCTTATTTGTGTGCAGCCGCGGGTGGGAGCGTGTTCTTGAGACTTGTGGCACCCTTTCCTGTCTCAAGGATAGACGGTGTCTATGCTGTCGGACGGCCGCTTTAGAAGCACGTGGAATAAGCGTGTATTGGCTGCGTCGTGTTGCTGGTCGGATCCACTTGGGTACCAGCTTGTCTGCTTGGCGGTAAGTCCTTCAGGTGTTTTTCATGTACATTGCCTCTAGGGACACCCCAAGTGGCCATTCCTTGGATGGCCACTGGAGGTGCTTCCTGGGTTAGTGCTGCCGAAAAAGCAGCACTGACGTTCAGCGTCCCCACGCTATGCACGGAGAAGCCGAATTTTCCTCATAGAGATGGATTGATTCAATCAATCACACACACTGCATCTGATTGGCCAAAACAGCATTTGGCCCCGCCTCCAATCCAATGCTTTCCCTAAAAATTGGCCATTTTGATGATGTCACAAAGGGAGCAGAGCCAACGCCGGCGGACACGCGCTGTGCTGGAAATAAGGTGAGGTTTTTTTTAATTTTATATTCTTTATTTTTGTGTGCGGCAAGGTTCACTCGGCTCGCAGAGCCGCAATATACATAACAAACAATAGATGCATAATACGTGGGTTAACTTCCTGACTCAATGTATGCAGGCACTTTTTGTTTTTAATAAGTCTTAGGGTTCTTTCTCAGGTTTCTCTCTACGGGTCTCACAGGTCTAGTGGGAATGCTGTAGATTTGTCTGTTGAGATGGTAAGCTTGGTTACCTTTCTCGGTGGCTTTCCTGCCTTTTAGTTAAGGGTTATTAATGCTAGGGCCTCAAGAGTATACCTCGGGTGGCAGGTATGTGCTGGGGCTACGTTGCACCTCCTGCTCTGTGTTATTGTAGGTCTAGTGGGTCTGTAGTGGCTATTGGGGGGGAGGGGGCTTCTCCTTGTTTCACTCGTAGGGTACGTGGGGATCTCCAGCTGTATTTTCTATTGTGGCTACTGAGCAATGTTGTGAGGGGCTGCAGCGTTTTGCGCCAGTGGAGTGTCTCTCTGGTAAGGTCAGCGAAGAACAAGAGGGCCATGTTTTCGAAGTTTAGCGGAGTAATCCCCTTTAAGGCAGCTTGCACCAGCACTTTATCCGCTGCACTTTGGAACCGCACTATCAGGTCCCTGGACGCCTGCTCCGGCACTCTGTTGGGCTTTGGGACTCTGAAGTGTCCGTCCAGGGTGAGGTTCCTGGCCTGTTTGGGCTCCAGTAGGTGAGTCATGAGCCTTCGGAGGAGGTGTGGGAGCTCAAACGTGGGTGTGCTCTCTGGGATTCCCCGGATTTTCAAATTATTGCTGCGTCATGAGTCCTCCAGCGCGGCAAATCTGAGGTCTGAGGCTGCCTGGCTCTTTTTAAGTGCTTATACTTCTAGTTGAAGGTGGGCTACCGTTTGGGTTAGGTGTTCTAAGGTGGTTTCCACCGCGCCTATGCGGCCTACCAGGCCGTGATGTCCGCGCGGAGCAAGACCACATCCGCCTGTATTGTTTTCTGCAGGGCCCCCAGCATAGTTGCCGTCACCGGTCTGGAGTCATTGGCTTTAGGCTTCTGGGGGGGGTTGCAGTGGCAGCGACTACCCCTCTCCCTCTTCATCTGGGGATAGCTCCTCGGAGTCATCATAGAAATCTCCCATGTCGGCGGCCATTTTTTTGATTTCCTGTCCATACTCGCAGGGGGTGCTTTGGTTGCCATTTTGCGGTTCAGTTGCCTGCTTTTTACCAGGTGTCGGCAGTTTTCCCCTGGAGCTCGTAGCTTGTGTGGCCGCTCGGCTCAGTTGCTTAGGTCCGCCCCTAAGGTGAGTTTTAAACTTTTATAGGGGGACAAGCCACCTAAATGGTGGCTAAAATAGATTTAGCACTATAGGGTCAGGAATACATGTTTGTGTTCCTGATCCTATAGTGTTCCTTTAACAACCCCCTTGATTGTCTGAAAGTGTGAGTAACCACTTGTTAATAACTGTTTCATACATAGAGTTGGCTATGGTCCTTATTCTGTTAAGCAGATTATTTATCTCCTAATAGGTTTTCTATAGATACCTCTAGCACACTACTAGCTAAATTTTCTATTATAAAAATAAATCTGAATAACATCAGTGCCACTGGATAGATCCTTTGTTATAATTGGTGGTCATAACAAGCGTAATTGATTTTAAACACTTTTTTTTTTTTTTATTAATAAAATTATATGTCTTTTTAGCATTGTTGTTAAATGCATAAAGTTGGTAGTTTAAATGCGTCACCGCATGAGATACAGGGACATCTGGGTAAGGTAGTTTGTGCTGTATGCAGAATTGCAAGACATTGCCTTTACAACAGTAACATCCCTGCGTCCTTACACCAGAGGGCGCACTATGTCAAAGACGAAGATGGACGCCGCCCAGAATTAGGTATATAGACTCATTGACTATGCTCCATTAAACCAGGGCCTTCAAAGGGAAAGTAGGGTCAAGAAAACGCAGGCCAGAGTTTGCCGCAGCTCAGAATATTGCATAAAACATTGCTGCAAAGTTTGCATGATACGTTTTGAGTGCTGAATTTATTTTTATTTTTTAAATTGTTTCTTGTTACCTGGGCTTTTGTTGTATAGATATGTGTTGTTTTGGTTGTGTTTGTATTAGGCAACGTGGAACTTGTCATATATGCCAGGGGTATAGCCCCCGACACAAAAGTGCAAATAACTCTGTATGTGGTGTATTTAAAGCAGAAACATTGCACATCCAAATTCATTCCTCCACGGCCACTTTAAAAAGCTGACGTAGTCATGAATGTTGGAGTAACCTTTCAGAAGGTTTATTTGCAAAAATAGTACAAAAGAAACTGCAAATGCATTTTCGAAAGGGACATAAAAATGGCATACATAGACCCTTACTTCCATTGCTTTTTACAGGGGAAATATATATAAAAAATTGTATCCTTGAAACAAATTAAGATAATCACAGTTTATATCATTCTACAGGTTAGAAGCTGGGCAAAATGTAGATGTAGGCAACATTCAGCAAATTAACAACATGTGCCTCAAAATAGTAAAGGAGTTGCCACTTTTGTGTCCGAATCAGTTAAAGTATATTTTTGTCAAATTATTAGTAGCAAATAGAGTACAGAGAAAAACGCTGTTTATTTATTTTTTAGAAATAAGTTGTGTTAAAAATAGAGTTGGCAGATTACATCAGGAATCGATGACCATAAATAGCTGGTACTGATGCTATCCACACATACAAAATCTGTAGGAGGAAAAAGGAGAGAATATAAATAAATACCGGTAACTTGGCAAAATATTTGCACCTTTAGTTACTGAAAAATAACAAAACAATATGATCACCCCACAAAAGAAAAAGGGATGGACTGGAGCAAACAAACATGACAGAGGAAGAGAACTTGTTGCTAATGTAACAGAAGGGAGAAAAAAAAAAAATGTGACAGATGTAGGATAGCAAGAATCTCAAATTTCAGAGAGCCAGGAGCATGAGCAAGGAGGCTAAAAAATGTGACAGAGAAACGGTTGAGGCCTTTTATATGATAGAGAAGGCAGTACAATAACACAATATCAGAAAATATGTAATTGATGAGGTCAAAGGGCATAATGAAAATATGGCACAGGGGAGCAAACCAATAATGTGAATGAGAACAGCCAGTGATGTAATTTAAGGAAGGACGGCAAACACAGAATGGAAAGCAGACTAATAATGTGGAATCTATGGAGAGAGTTATTATTGAGGGAATGTGGAATGGAGAATGATTTTGTTGAAGGCAGGGATGGTGAGAGATATTGATGAGGGGACTTAAACGTGAAGTATTCCTCCGAGAGGTGATTGGGGAGATATTCAATGGTGGTGTTAGATGAGAAATGAGTTGAGACGTTTGAGATTGTGGGATGACATATACTTACATTCTGCAGCATATATGATAGCATGAGCAGAAGAGCGTCAGACCCAACACACTTAATATCACTGTCCTGAAGATTGCATTCAGTGTGGCTTGAAAGAAAGAAAGAAACATTATCGTTTATTGTGGAATACACTATCAACATGCCAAAATCTGCTGACAGACGCATGCAGGCGCTCACTTCTCTTACACTGACTCACACTCCGGGGTGAATTTGTATTTACCTACTGGCACACTTTCGTTAGGGTTCCTGTCTTAGAACTATAATTGCATATTTTCTAGAATTGTGCACAGCAGAAACATTTAGTTTGGGTGTTTAAAATTCATTCATATGGCATTTTTTGTTCAGATGGATTTCATGCATGTAAATGACTTGGGAAACTGAGTCAGGTCAGCCAAAATGGCTTGAAAATGGCCAATAAGTGCTCTGCAAAATATATACATAACAATTCTATTTTTCAGTACTTGGCATTTTCCCGCTATGTGGATCGCAGATCAAGTGAGAAGAAAGTATAAATTGGCCCAGCAGCACCCCATTTATACATGTTCAGGTGAGTGTAGCCCCCTGGTTTTATGTATACATTTAGGAGTGAGGCCGACTCCTTGGTTTTGCACCCCTCCCTGTCACAGGTGTAGGGCTGACACACCCGCTTTGAGACAACTAACTGCTATTCAATCTATAACAGTGAAAAAAGTTTTTGGGTTTTTAAATGCACGCTATTGTGACACCAGTGAGTGAGTGGTGGCACTGGGCACAGTATCCACTGTGAGCCTGACACAGACGCTTGCAGACAACTAACTGCTATTCAATCTAGAACAGTGAAAAAAGTTTTTTGTTTTTGAATGCAAGCTATTGTGACACCAGATATGAGTGGTGGCACTGACTGGGCAAATGGGCACAGTATCCACTGTGAGCCTGACACAGAAGCTGGCAGCAGTGGCAGACAGTTAACTGCTATTCAATCTATAACAGTGAAAAAAGTTTTTTGTTTTTAAATGCAAGCTATTGTGACACCAGTGAGTGAGTGGTGGCACTGGGCACAGTATCCACTGTGAGCCTGACACACCCGCTTTAAGGACACTGACTGCTATTCAATCTATAACAGTGAAAAAAGTTTTTTGTTTTTAAATGCAAGCTATTGTGACACCAGTGAGTGAGTGGTGGCACTGGGCACAGTATCCACTGTGAGCCTTACACACCCGCTTTAAGGACACTGACTGCTATTCAATCTATAACAGTGAAAAAAGTTTTTTGTTTTTAAATGCAAGCTATTGTGACACCAGATGAGTGAGTGGTGGCACTGGGCACAGTATCCACTGTGAGCCTGACACAGAAGCTGGCAGCAGTGGCAGACAACTGACTGCTATTCAATCTATAACAGTGAAAAAAGTTTTTAAATGCAAGCTATTGTGACACCAGTAGTGAGTGGTGGCACTGGGCACAGTATCCACTGTGAACACTACTGCTATTCAATCTATAACAGTGAAAAAAGTTTTTTGTTTTTAAATGCAAGCTATTGTGACACCAGATATGAGTGGTGGCACTGACTGGGCAAATGGGCACAGTATCCACTGTGAGCCTGACACAGAAGCTGGCAGCAGTGGCAGACAACTAACTGCTATTCAATCTATAACAGTGAAAAAAGTTTTTTGTTTTTAAATGCAAGCTATTGTGACACCAGTGAGTGAGTGGTGGCACTGGGCACAGTATCCACTGTGAGCCTGACACACCCGCTTTAAGGACGCTGACTGCTATTCAATCTATAACAGTGAAAAAAGTTTTTTGTTTTTAAATGCAAGCTATTGTGACACCAGATAGTGAGTGGTGGCACTGGGCACAGTATCCACTGTGAGCCTGACACAGAAGCTGGCAGCAGTGGCAGACAACTAACTGCAATTACATTACACAGAAAAAAAAAAAGCAGACTGATGTTCTAGCCCTAAAAAGGGCTTTTTGGGGTGCTGTCCTTACAGCAGAGATCAGATGAGTCCTTCAGGACTGTAGTGGACACTGTATACCCTAACCTAGCTATGCATTTCCCTATCTAATCAACAGCAGCTACACTTTCCCTCCTCTCACTAAGCATGCAGCTTGAGAATGAATCTAAAATGGATGCTGTCCAGTAGGTGGGAGGGTCTGCTAGGGAGGGTGTGCTGCTAATTGGCTGGAATGTGTCTGCTGACTGTGAGGTACAGGGTCAAAGTTTACTCAATGATGACGAATAGGGGGCGGATCGAACTGCGCATGTGTTCGCCGTCTGCGGCGGACGCGAACACACTATGTTCGTCGGGAACTGTTCGCCGGCGAACCGTTCGGTGCATCACTATTGCCTAATACATAGACTGTTGCAGCTGAGTAAACACCTGGTAATCTCAATACATTTTTAGATTTTGCATTTGCACACTACAGTCAAGTATGAACACACCACAGATATAGATGCTTTCACACATTGACATATTACATTCATATAAATATTACACACTGTATTAACACATTACTTTAATACATTCTCATAATCTAGTCATTAGATTGACAACTAAATCCAGCTCTTTGCACATAATCGTATCCTGCATCAATTATATGTACGTGCCAAAAGCCACTTCTCTCCTCAATAAATATTGGTATGTCAGAGATTTAAACATACCAGTGTCGTTTATTTTAGGCTCCTCTCCAATGAACTTATAAACCTTCATAACGCTATCAACATCGGAGTCTGGATAATCAAAGAAGAACCTTGATGTTCGAGTACTTATGGTGGTGGTAGGACGGTGGCGGCCTGGAGAAAAAGGTTCTAGAGAAAAATAGTGTCCAAATAGAAATATTAGGAGGCAACTACTGAGACAAACGGGAAATATAACAAGAGGGTTGTATTTGGCATTTCAGGTACTGTAGTGAACTAAGAGAATTACATTTTTCCCCCAAAATGTCCAAGTTCAGGAAGAAAAAAATCCAACTCTGCTTCATTGTCATAAGGTAATGCATTGTTGTAACAAGGCCTTTTCTAAAATAGATCTATAATAGGAAAGAGAAGAAGTACTCTCACAATTTGCTGATGGTTGGTAATTATATTGAAAAATATTGGATTAGCTCAGTGGTAGTGCAGATTTTTTTTACCATCTTAAATAACCACCCGTTTTGATGTCCTCTCTTAATTTGATATCCACTTATGGTTGTATTCTCTAAAATGAGAAATAAGAATTGTAAAGAACTGACCAGATATTATGACAAAAAAAAGTAGAAAAGTTTCTTGGAATCGAGACTCAAAATTTCCTTACAGTAGTGGTTCCTTATGGCAACAATGCAGTGAGGTGAGGGAGATTTGCGGTGTCCCAAGTGCCCTATTGTTCCCTTCATTTCCCATGTACAGAAGCTGCAAGCCTTTGATATTGTTTATACTATTTCCCTGAAAAGTAGTTTATTTTTCTTCTGCAGTTAGTATAAAACTCACCCAAATTGGAAATCTCTTCCATTGCCCGCATTCTCTTCCTGACAGTGCGAGAAACTTCTAAGGGAGAAAAGAGAACTGGTTATACTCTATTCTGTGCCAGGTAGAAAGCAAGCATTACATGGGCAGTAGGTGAGATGGAAAATACATCCACCATCCTTTTTTACTCTTGTTGCCTTGTTTGCATATTACCCTACAGTGAGTTTTAAAACAGTAGTACCAGTTTGCCAATCTGGAAGCACATTGTAGAATATTGCTCTCACCTCTATTCCACAATGTAAATATATCCTTAATAGGGTTTCCTAGGGATTCATGTTCCACTTGACACTCAAAGAGTTGTAAGTCTTTGGATTCTGTTGGGGTGACAATTACAGAACTTTCCAAGCTATAGGTGCCGTCAGAGTTCCTCTGAATTTTGTCCATGTTTGAAATGTGCAGTGGTTGTCCATTCCTAAACCAAGTCACACCAATGGCTTTTGGGTAGAAGTGTTTGACCCAACAGTTAAGCGAATTCTCGCTATCTAATTTCAGTGATGTTTTGGTTATTTTAACTGATGGAGAAGCTGTGAAGAAAAAGGGAAATATTTAAAGTAAGACAGAGTTGGCCATTATGCTCTTCTGTGGTCTTGGAGGGCCACTTAGTTACCCAATATATTGATAACCCATCATAGACAAAATATTTGCACCTTTATACTACAGCAGATAGATCATGTAATATAATTTAAAGGGACCCTATAGTCACTAAAACAACTTTAACTTAATGCAGCAGTTTTGGTGTATAGACCATCCCCCTGAAGTCTCACTGATCAGTTCTTTGCCATTTAGGAGTTAAATCACTTTCTTTATGCTGCCATAAGCACACCTCCCTGCATGTGACTTACACAACCTTCCTAAACCCTTCCTCTAAAATGTCCTCTAATGTTTACACTTCTTTTATTGCAAATTCTGGTTACTTTAGAATTTCTTATCTCCTGCTCTGTTAATAGCTTGCTAGACCCTGCAGAAGCCTCCTGTGTGTGATTAAAGTTCAATTCACAAAGCAGATGATAAAACCATTTAACATATGTTACATCGGATTGAAAATGAAGCCATTTTGCTTTCATGCAGGCTGTGTCAGTCACAGCCAAGTAAGGTGTGGCTAGGGCTGCATAAACAGAAACAAAAGTTATTTAACTCCTAAATGGCAGTGAATTAAGCCACTGCAGGGGCATGATCTATACACTAAACCGGCTTCATATGCTAAAATAGTTTGTGACTATAGTGTCCTTTTAACGAAAATGTTATGATTTTTTTCCTCATATTAAAATCTGAGCTTTATCTTTGTTTCTTGTTTTGTGTTTAACATATATTTACCTTGAATATTCAATTTAATATTTTTCATTTCTTTGTCTCTGTTGTAAGTCACTACACATGTGTAACTTCCTTCATCATTGATGGTCACATCGTGTAGAGACAAAGAAACATCACCCTTGCTGAAGGCCTGCTTGTCTATTGTTATCCTTTGGTGTAAAACCTTATATTTGTTGTTCTCATATATCAACAGTTTTTTTCCTCCAAATTTCCATATAACAGTAAGTAAATTGGGGTTCACATCCTCTCCAGATACTTGGAATGTGCAAGGAACAAGGGCAGATGATCCGACCTTTGCAATTATAGGGTGATTAGGAACAGTCATTTCCAGCCCAGAACCTGCAGAAAAACAGACACAACAGAATTACGCACTCCAAATGGGGTTGACCCCAAAATGTAAGAATTTAACAAAAGAAGTGGGGAGCTGGAGGGCCCTACTGTGGGGATTTGGGCTACCTGTCTCTGTTATAGGATATAAAACATAACTTTTATTTGTATGATACATTAAAAATGCTATATAGCTTAAGCAAAGTGCAGATTGACACACTAAAAGTCTATGAAAATGGTGAATAAGGAAATCATGGGAAAAGGGAGAACAGAGAAAATGTGTGAAAAAAAAAAGTAAAATATCCATTGAAATGTAAGGGGGACAATAACCTAAATATCACTGTGGGATAGCACAGATTATCAGAATAAGCAGGGCTGAGTACCTTGCCTGGTATTACTCTTACTCGGTTGCTTTAACTAATCTTTGACTGTGCCTTCTAGGGCACGTATCTATAGTGAAAGCTACTCTATAGATCAAGTACACTAATGCCCTATTTGTGCCTTCAAGGTCACTTATCTGTAGTAAAGACGATAATAATGCTTGTCTAGTCCCCATTCTTGCAAACTAGTAGTAAAAATACTAGCTGTAGAAATAAAGTAGATCCTTGTAAATGAATACGATGACTGCTGCTCCTGTCTGCAGCCTTGGAATTACTGTCGGAGGATACCACAGGATCTCCCCTGCTGGCCGTGGTCCACAGCCATAGAGGCCTACTGGGCGTTTTCTTCAGAACCCACCACCACCCAACTGAAATCCCAAACTGCCTACTAGTTGGCAGTAGGGACTAGGTTAACTACCCCTGTTCTAAAGTATTCATTTTATTTGCTACAATTATTCACAAACTTATTCTTTTCTTGATGTCCAGTCAACATATTTGTCCAATATAATATTCCGTCCAGATAATGTAACACCCATGAGAGGGTAATTTAAATATACTCTACAAGATCTAACCCAGTTCTATTAAAAGAACACCAAAGCATTGTAAATACAAACCTGTATTCCTAACACCCCCCTTGTTGCTCACTGATCCACCTCACACGATATCACAGACAAGGCCCAACCTCCTCTGCTAATGCTGCACGCGCATCCAAGCTTCCCCATGAGAAATGAAATGGATTAATTATTTCCGATAATTGCTTTAGAGAGTTTTACCCGGTCAATTCTGCGATAGATCCTCTATTGGCTGTACGTAGAGGAGGACTCAACACAGCAATGTAAATATTGCAGTTGCTTAAAAATTGCAGTGTTTTATATTGCAGGGTTACAGCCAGGGTGACTTTAGTGGTCCATTAATGTGACTCCACAAGCATATATATGTAAGATAAAAGATTGGACAGATTATTTTTGGATGCAAAAAATAGGAAATTACATATGTTTGACTTTTTTAAAGCTTTGTCTTACATTAATTTTGTATAGGTTGTAAATATTGAAATAGAAGTATCAGTGCATCTCCATGAAACTTTATAGAGGCACAGGCAAAAGGAGGGAACAGGCATCCATTTTGAGTGATGGTAAGAATGATACTCACTATTCCCCACAGAAACACACACAATTTAATTTCCCACATACCCCATCCTCCCCACGATTGTTAACTTGCATGAAAGATCACTCCATCCATTTGTCCATTTCTTACTCTGCCACACTTTACTATTTTGCAGGTGAATCCTAAACTGTAGGAAATTGCCACATTTAGGTGATTAATTTTTTATTTTTTTTTACAAATGCAGTTACAATCACAGATTGGCTACTTCAGCTTGCTAATTGCTGCATTTAATTACTGATTGGAAGTACTTAGCGGTCGCTCTCAGCCAGTGAGACTGCCCTGCTCATCTTAGAAGCAGGGCTAAAACAGAGATCGCCCGGGACAAGCGTTCTTAAACGGTTTGACTGCTTAATCTGAAATGTTGAAATTCATAGCACCAAAATCACTACAATAGGCTCTAGTGTTTTACATGTTTGTGGTGTAGTTTTAAAAAAATCTCTTGTATTACGGTATTACAGATATTTTTAATCTGTTTAGTTTGTACATGATGGTTGATGTATTTGGAACGTGTATATTATGTGAATTAGAATGTGGTTTGGTACTATATTATGTACATTGTGATGGTCCTGTGAGTCCTATTTATTATCTTATTTTGTTGAGACAAATATCTTTTCCGTGTATTGTTATTTAAATGTCACATGCATGCAAGTAATATACATTGGTTTTATTTGTACACAATATTTAAATTAATGTTTAATATAGTTTATTATGTGCCATAGCATTAAATGTAAGGACATACAACTAGGTGTATTTTGTTTTGTATAGTATGTACGTGGCAGAGGCAGGTTTTAAATTTGGTTTGCAACAGCTGCAGGGCCGTCTTTAATATTGATTGGACCCTGGGCAAGCATCTGCTTGGGCCCCCTGGGCATGCAATCACACCCTCCACCCCAACCTAGAGGCGAAACTAATGTAGAGAGTGCCTTGGTGCAAAAAAAATAATAATTCAGGCCTGCCCTGAAGCACAAGAGTAAAGAAAAGATAGATCCCCATCTGTCATACAACTCCTGCGATGCTATGCCAGGTGGGGATCTACCATCCTTGCAGGGTTGTATTTTTGAGCAGTGTTTGTGCAATTGAATGTCAGCATGTTATTGTATAGAGTGTATGTGTGCATGTAGGGGTGTATTTGTATGTACTGTTACCATTAGAATGCAGTGGTGTACTTGTGTGTAGTGTTTGCGTTTGAATGCAGTAATGTGTGATTGTCTGTAGTGTTGGCTTTTAAATGCAGTTGTACTTTTGTGTGTAGAGTTGGTGTTTGTATATAATTTTAGCGTTTTAATACAGGAATGTGTTTGTATGTAATGTTTGTATTTGCATGCAGGGGGTTGTTTGGATGTAGTGTTGTGTACATTTGTGTGTAGTATTGGTGTTTCAGCAAACTGGTGTGTTTGTATGTAATGTTAGTGTTTGCAGGGCTCTGTTTGCATGTTGTGTGATTTCTATAACACATATACACATACAGGGAGTGCAGAATTATTAGGCAAGTTGTATTTTTGAGGATTAATTTTATTATTGAACAACAACCATGTTCTCAATGAACCCAAAAAACTCATTAATATCAAAGCTGAATATTTTTGGAAGTAGTTTTTAGTTTGTTTTTAGTTATAGCTATGTTAGGGGGATATCTGTGTGTGCAGGTGACTATTACTGTGCATAATTATTAGGCAACTTAACAAAAAACAAATATATACCCATTTCAATTATTTATTATTACCAGTGAAACCAATATAACATCTCAACATTCACAAATATACATTTCTGACTTTCAAAATCAAAACAAAAACAAATCAGTGACCAATATAGCCACCTTTCTTTGCAAGGACACTCAAAAGCCTGCCATCCATGGATTCTGTCAGTGTTTTGATCTGTTCACCATCAACATTGCGTGCAGCAGCAACCACAGCCTCCCAGACACTGTTCAGAGAGGTGTACTGTTTTCCCTCCTTGTAAATCTCACATTTGATGATGGACCACAGGTTCTCAATGGGGTTCAGATCAGGTGAACAAGGAGGCCATGTCATTAGATTTTCTTCTTTTATACCCTTTCTTGCCAGCCACGCTGTGGAGTACTTGGACGCGTGTGATGGAGCATTGTCCTGCATGAAAATCATGTTTTTCTTGAAGGATGCAGACTTCTTCCTGTACCACTGCTTGAAGAAGGTGTCTTCCAGGAAATGGCAGTAGGACTGGGAGTTGAGCTTGACTCCATCCTCAACCCGAAAAGGCCCCACAAGCTCATCTTTGATGATACCAGCCCAAACCAGTACTCCACCTCCACCTTGCTGGCGTCTGAGTCGGACTGGAGCTCTCTGCCCTTTACCAATCCAGCCACGGGCCCATCCATCTGGCCCATCAAGACTCACTGTCATTTCATCAGTCCATAAAACCTTAGAAAAATCAGTCTTGAGATATTTCTTGGCCCAGTCTTGACGTTTCAGCTTGTGTGTCTTGTTCAGTGGTGGTCGTCTTTCAGCCTTTCTTACCTTGGCCATGTCTCTGAGTATTGCACACCTTGTGCTTTTGGGCACTCCAGTGATGTTGCAGCTCTGAAATATGGCCAAACTGGTGGCAAGTGGCATCGTGGCAGCTGCACGCTTGACTTTTCTCAGTTCATGGGCAGTTATTTTGCGCCTTGGTTTTTCCACACGCTTCTTGCGACCCTGTTGACTATTTTGAATGAAACGCTTGATTGTTCGATGATCACGCTTCAGAAGATTTGCAATTTTAAGAGTGCTGCATCCCTCTGCAAGATATCTCACTATTTTTGACTTTTCTGAGCCTGTCAAGTCCTTCTTTTGACCCATTTTGCCAAAGGAAAGGAAGTTGCCTAATAATTATGCACACCTGATATAGGGTGTTGATGTCATTAGACCACACCCCTTCTCATTACAGAGATGCACATCACCTAATATGCTTAATTGGTAGTAGGCTTTCGAGCCTATACAGCTTGGAGTAAGACAACATGCATAAAGAGGATGATGTGGTCAAAATACTCATTTGCCTAATAATTCTGCACTCCCTGTACACATTAACACGAAGATACACACATAGGCACACTGACACATGCTCACACCTTGACACATACTGGCACATACACACACACACTCAGATACACACCCTTTGACACACAGATACAAGCACTTTGATACACACACACACTGGCACATCCACACACAGAGGTACACACACACACTGACACAGGTATGTACACACACACACTCAGATACACACATACATAAAGGTATAAATGCAGGGGTGTATATGTGTACAGTGCTAGAGATGGAGTGTATTTGTGTTGGCATTAAAATGCTGGGATGTATGCATTACCACACACTCAGATACACACTTACACACGCTGACACACACAAACACACACACACACACACAAACACACACACAGGTACACATACACACTGACACACAAGTACACATACACAGGTATACATAC